AGCTGGGGCCTCCTACCACTCCCAGTCCCTGTCCCAGCCAGTCCCTGACACTGAGGGCAGACTGGGGATTGATGGGGGCAATGCCCTGTTCTCCTTAATAGAGCAACCTCTGCTGGGGAAATTGCTCCTTACTGCATCTCCTTTCCCGCCATATCGGAAATAATGTTTCTTATTACTCTTTTATGAGGCACCTACTCTGTTTCCTAATCATTTAAGAAATGGTCTTCTTCATTTATGAAGATGTTGTGATGGTACTCCTCTGCGGTGTGCCTTTGCGGTCTGGATGCATAGTGTGTGAAAGGATCAATGGGTATCTAAGCTGACAGAAGCCTATGAGGCATGGAAGTTCCCTGGCCACAATCCAGCACATGAATAAGTGGTTTAAGTGCCGCTGCTTACTTTGAGCTGAACTGTAGATGTGTACGTTATCCACTCTAGAGCTGAAAAATGCACCAGCTGAAAAATGTTTCCACATAATATTTCTTCTCATTCTCTACAAGCACTGTAAAACCACTCATTGCCTTACTACCACAATTTTTGGTCATTTTATGCAGTCTCCCTTGAGTGCCCAGTATGAACCCTCCACCATCATTCTGTCCATTTGCTTGTAAACCTTTGACCCCAAACAACTACAATACAAGTGGGACACAAACTAAGCAGCAGAGAGAAGAGGTTTAGTTCCACTCCATTTAAGACAGAAAGAGACCACAAGGGCAAATATAATGTTCTGGCTTTACAAAAGCAGCTGTGGTCTAAGAAGCAGAACCTACAGACAGAATTTATACTACTACTTTGCAATGTTATGAAAATGTGGACTCTACTTTTTTTCAGGACATGAAAGCACTGCTTGCACAAAGTCAAGCTTACGCTTTTTAAACAGAGTAAATATATAGGGTTTTTCAAAGTACAGATATACTTCTGAAATTCTGTGGGGTTGTATCCAACTAAGTTCTGCTCTGAGTAGATTCACTGAAATTAAAATGCCTGTTACTCATGCTCATTCATTTCAATGGGTCTACTCTGAGTGTCTGACCTTCTCCCCTTGCAAAAGCCTAAGTACATCCTTACAGAGAGCAAATTTTCACATGTAAGATTCTGAGCATGGGAGGACATGGGTCCCAAATCCTAACAGATGCCAGCCCTTGTCAGATGCAAGCAATCTTTGCGCATGAGACAAATGTTATGTCCTCTCACTGCTGTTTTCTCTAATTGGAATGGGATATTGTTTGTTACCCTGTGTGCTGGGCTGACACTCCATGTTGCAGATTTATTTTCTGTAGCCTCATGATCAGAGGTTAAACATCTCAATTCCTGGGGATTTTGGCACTGCCTGCATCTCTCCTCATTAGCCCTGATGCGTTCCTACTGGAGCATTGCCACTCGCTTCTCCTGCCTCCCAAATGATGCTTGCAAAGGATGTTAATAACCTTCCTTGGGCACAGTGTGTTTAGAGTACTGGTCACTCATCATCTCAGCGTTCCAGCCATTAAATGTAGGAGTGCAGTGCATCTATGGTAGACCTCCATTTCAGGGTTTTATGGGTTTGGGATGGACAAAAGTCATTTCAGAGTCCAGATCAAACGGCTGGTATTAACCTATAAAGACACATAGGGCTTTACATTCCTTCCTCTTCTGACATGAGCCTACCTGGACCCTGAGGTCATCACTGGAGGCTTTGAGAGTTATTCAGTGGGGGGGGGTGATAAAAGATCCTTTTCAGCTGTTGCCCTCTGTTTATGGAATTCTCCCACAAGTGAGGCTCATCTGGTACCAACACTAACAAATTTTCTGTGTCAGGTAAAGATGTCTTTATTCTTCCAGATATTTGTTGCTTGATATTATTTGGTTTGGCTGAGCTGGAACAATAGTTCCAGTAATGATTATCTGACCCTTCGGAAGGAGTCATCATCACCCATAATGTGCATAGTCATCTCTTTGGTCTCACTGTCACCTCCAGACATTGCAGATTAAGCTGGTATCCTTTGCTTTCATACTCTAGTTAATCATGCAAATTAAAATACCCACTCTGCAGATAATCAAGCATTGGAAGAAAAGAGGGGAATGTAAAAATAACACTACCCTTTTGTTAATGGAATCGTTGTGATTAAAGTATTGTGTAGCAGAAACAAGCTGCACTTACTATCTTGAATGTGAACCTCCCAGCTTGCATCTAATTTGTGTTCCATTTTTGAATCACTTAAGGTGATTAGAGTCCTCTGGATAGTGGCTGTCAAAGCAGAACAGATTTCTGGCTTTCTGTACACTTGGGCATTTTCACTGCTTTGAGCCTGACACTTTCACAAAATGAGGGTTCCTTTGGTCTACCCTTCACTTGCCAGCACATTAGAGATGATTAGTCTTCCATGAAGCACTGGCCTTGGGCTGAACGAAGGATGTTGTTGCTGTTGTTGCTGTTGTTGTTTTTGCTTTACTCTGCCCCCTGAGCACCCCCTGACTGTTTCCCCTATGAGATCATCCTCCGACTCAGCAGGATAAACTAGCACTCCCTTTATATAAGCAACGTCAATGAAAACGACAAAGTAATTGCTCTGTGTCACCCTATTATTGCTGCATTAGATTTGCCAGCACATTGCATTGTGGGAATTTAATTTTCTCAGAAAATGATATGGCATCATCACACAAACTTAATTGTCAGCCTATCTCTAAACAGGAATGGGCAAATGGAAGGATGATATTCTTTGGTTGACCTTTGATGGCACTCCGAAGTGGTTGAGCGAGGCAGCCGCCTCATGCTATCTAATGGTAGAGCCATTCCTGTTACGGGTAGTATTTTTTTTTTTTTAGTGCACACAATTCAAGCAGTGCTCTGGCAATGCACAAAATTTGAAGTATTCTAATTATCAAGTATAAGTGCAGAGAATATTCTCTCTGTGTGCTTTCTTCTCTTGTATAGGTATGAATGATGCTTGTTTATAATAAATTACTTTTTAAAAAGAACAACTGTTTAGCCACTTCTTTACTATCTGCTTGCTTTAGGGAAAACCCAGATTTATTGCATTTTGACTGCAAATTGATTTTTAATACAAGGATTCCATTTGTTCTGAATTTCTTCAGGACTTCTGTAGGCCTCTCATATTATTCCCATGATACAGATTGCAACTGGCCTTACGCCACTCACTTCATGGCTCAGATGAGAGTCAAAGTGGGGGCCTCCAATTCAAAACCTGTGCTGTTTTCACTCCTTGGCTCACTACAAAACCAATTCACCTATCGACTTTAGGGTCAAATACAGGGAAACACATATGGTAAAATGTGACTTTGCTGCTGGGACACTCTTCGTACAATTTATGATGGATGCAGTTTGGGAGTCAATGTGGTGTAGTGGTTACAGTGGTGGACTAGGACCAGGGAGACACAGGTTCAACTCCCCCCACCCCTTAGCCATGAAGTTCACTGGGCAACCTTGGGCCAGTCACTGTCTACCAGACTAACCTACTTGTGAGGATAAAATGAGGAAAGGGGAGAACTGCATGCTACCTTGAGTTCCTTGAACGAAAGGCGAGGTATAATTCATCTCACTAAGGAAGATTCAGCCTGTTTGTGACAACAGATTCTTTTTGCTCTGAAAGGAGAGCTGAATTATTCCCTGGATCCTTTTCCTATTGCTGCTTGTCTTGTAAGAACACAGGCAGCTGCTGGTGTTGACCTATATAGCCTTACACGGCTCAGGACCTCAATACCTTAAGGACCACCTCTCCCTATACAAAGCAACACAGACCCTGCTCTTGTCATCTGAGGCTCTTCTCTACATCTCCCTCTCCATGAAAAGTTTGGACAGTAAAAACAAAAGAACAGGACTTTTCTTGGTTTTAGGTGGCAGTCACGAACTATACCTACAAAAGAGGAATGGATTTGTAAACTAAATGAATATTTAATTTTGGCAAAATTAACTGCTATAATAAGAAATCAGTCGAATCAAAAATTTAAAAGGGAGTGGAAATGTTTTGATGAATATATGGCAAAATATTGCTCAAAAAAAGATACGCTAATATGCCTAGATTAAAATGTGAAGTACTGGAGGGAAGAAAAATTAGTAAGGAAAGATAATAAGAATATATAGATGATTTGAGAAGATTGTAGAATGCAAAGATTATTGTAAATTGTATAATGTGGAGGAAATCGAGGGGGGCGGAGGGAAGTAGGAGGAAGGAGAAAAGAATAATATAACGGATTAAGGAAATGTAAATGTAAATGTATGGCGGGATGGGGAGGAAATGGTGTTGGCTTTGGTACATCTGTATTGTAATGCAATATGTGAAAACCAACAAATAAATAAATAATCAAATAAATAAATAATTTTTTTTTTAAAAAAGAAAACAGGACTTTTCTGTGGTGGCCTGTGGAATGCTCTCCCCAGAGAGGCTCGCCTGGCGCCATCAAAACATGTCTTTAGATGCCAGGCAAAAATTTTATCCAGGCCTATGGTTATTAAATAACATACGGCCTGTGAAAGTGTTGGGGAGAGAACTGTTAGCAAGAGGAATGTCAGTATGCATTTTACCATGTTTTTATGATGTTCTTATAATTGCTGTTTTGCAATGTGTTTCTAATGTTGTACACCGCCTTGAGATCTTTTGATAAATACAAATTGGTATACAAAATGGTATACAAATTGAATAAATAATAGTAATAAATAATAGTAATAAATGCCAGGTAAGACTAAATTGTCCATCTTATTACCCCAGTATTGTCTGCTCAGAGTGGCAGGGTCTCAAGCAGACTAGGGTCTTTGCATTTGCTTGCAGCTTATGTTTACTTCTGCATGCAAACCATCTACACACCAACACTTAATTATGTCCCCTGTCCAAACGTCGTGAGAGCTGAACTGCGTTGCCACTTGACTGTCTGAAGAAGTGTTCATGCACACGAAAACTCATACTAATAACAAACTTAGTTGGTCTCTAAGGTGCTACTGGAAGGATTTTTTTTATTTTGCCTGTTAAAGACCTTAATACACATTTTGTTTGTTATTTCTGCAGCTACAAGAGTGTGGTGACTCCTAAGCGTGCTGGAATTGCTATTGCTTGCTGCTGGCTGGTTTCCCTGCTCGTCGGGCTGACCCCTATGTTTGGCTGGAACAACTTGAACGAAATGCAGAAGAGGGCGAACGCCAGTCAGCTGACGAACACCAGTCAGTCAGAGTTCACCGTCAGCTGCCAGTTTGAGAACGTTATCAGCATGGAGTACATGGTCTACTTCAACTTCTTCGTGTGGGTATTGCCTCCGTTGCTCATCATGCTCATCATCTACCTGGAAGTGTTCAAGATCATCCGCAAGCAGCTTAATAAAAAGGTCGCCTCCTGCTCGACAGATCCAGAGAAGTATTATGGGAAGGAGCTGCAAATCGCCAAATCTCTTGCCCTCGTCCTCTTCCTCTTTGCTGTGAGCTGGCTGCCTCTGCACACTCTGAACTGTATCAGCTTTTTCTACCCGTCGTGCAAGACCCACAGCAGCCTCACCTACATTGCAATATTTCTTACGCATGGGAACTCTGCCATGAACCCCATCGTCTATGCCTTCAGGATTAGAAAATTCAGGACCACGTTCCTGCAGATCTGGAACCATTATTTTTACTGCAAAGGGGACAAGCACATGAACAATATTGATAACACGGACATTGCCATCTAGGAGTCGTCTGGTGCCAGGCTGGCCTGCAGCCTTCAAGCCACATGGGGTGCTCTATAAACATCCCTTTCATTGTCCAAATGGCCAAGTTGGCTTCATCTCCATCATACGCAAGGCCTGCTCCTGGGCAGAGCAGACAAAGCCCAGAGCCAATCAAGGGCATTATTTATTACTACTAGTAATATTCATTTTACCATCTGGTATTCTAGGAGCTGTTCTTTCCCCTCCCTTTTTTTGGAAGAAAGGTGACACTTATAATTATGCTTTTAAAGGGGGACTATGCCAACAGAATGTATATTTCATTCCAATAAAGAGGAAACGAATCTCTGTGGTTGAATTAATGGGGAGCTGTACTCACTATGGAATTTAATATTCTCATTGGTAGCAGTAATCTTAATTGCATTTATGAGTTGCCTCTGCAAAAAAAAAAACCACACAAAAAAAATGAAACCAGCTCTGGACAACTTACAGGTTTAAAACAAATACACAACATACAATTTAACATATACAGGGTTGTATCTAACAGTATCACGCAGCTCAGCCAATGATAAAGTGAAAAGGGACAGAAGCAATTTTCAGTGATTCTACCTCCTTGCTGCAGCCCCCATATCCTTAAATCTGGGGACTGGCATAAATAGTTCTCTAACCAAGCACTGCCAGGACTTAACCGGAAAAAAGAAGCCGCTGCCATGATCATAATGCTGAATCTGTGTTCAAACCCTACTGCAATTAATGAAATTTATTAGAATTATGGTGAGGCAGCAGGTTAACTTCTACATTTGTCACAGGGGATTATTTTGTATGTCCTGACAACAATTTCATTTAACGGTTTCAGCAGTACGGCTGCCTCATGTGGTCTTGCTCTGCTGACCCATAGGCCAATGTAGCTTATTTCTACAAAATGAAAGAACAACACCTCACAGAGCGTGATATCAGTGCAAGCTGGCTTGTGTGTATTGAATTGCTTCATGCTGGAAATAAATGTTCCTGGCTTCAGAGCGCAGATTCAATCTTGCTGTTTGAGGTAGAGCCTGAGTTCAGATGCAAGTTGGAAGGGCCTCCTTTCCCTCTCTCTGCAAGTACATGCCCTGCTGTGCCCCAGAGGCACGAAATGAATGCAAGAAAGAAATCAAATAAATAGGTTACTTGGTAAATAATCAAACGCACATACGTCACCAGTCCCCTGAACCTGCTATGTAAGTTGGTGATTTGGAGAGGCCTCAGGGACATCAGCACACTTTGCAGGTGTGGGGGTACCCTGAAAAAACAAGCAAGGGCTCCAAAGCTGAAATTAACCAGGTACCACAGGATGCTTAATAAGCTTGCATGCATTGTGGACCCAATTAGCTCAAGTTTCTGTGTTGGTCAAAAGTAAACTAACACTTGCAAGTGTTATAGCACTACATTCCCAAACATCCCTTTTATTGAATTGTTCCCATGTTATTCCAGGTTATATGGCTGCATTTTTTTCCATAAAGCAGCATGTCTGTCAGATGTGCCAACTTGAATAAAATATTGGGGGGTGGTGGTGCAAGTAAGCCCCACCCCCCATAATCAATCACATGACTCACCCCACACATGCACGCACGCACACGTGCGCGCGCACACACACAAACACCATTTGAATGGCAATGCCCATCAACTTTGGAAGGGTCTGGTCTCCTCAAACATTTTAGGCCTTAGGGTGTGTGTGTAAAGGGACCACAGTCCCTAAGAGTTGGGTCCTATGATGTCTGTTGAGGTGACTAAAATGAAATTGCCAAAGAGAGCAAAAAGGATAAAGCCTACATCAAATGAATTAGGCGGATACGGAGAAGCGTGAAAATATTATAGAAACCTAACAGAAGACTGCTGTTTCTTATGTCTTATTAACCCACAATAAACCAACCTTAAAGTAGGTATCAACTTGTAAAAATGGAAATGAGTATGCAGTCATACCTCGGGTTGAATACGCTTCAGGTTGAGCGCTTTCGGGTTGCACTCTGCGGCGACCCGGAAGTAATGGAATGTGTTACTTCCGTGTTTCGCTGCTCGCGCATGCGCAGACAGTCAAAATAACGTCACACGCATGCGTGGAAGTGGTGAATCGCAACCCGCGCACACACAGACGCGCAGCTTCCTAGGTGCTTCCTAGGTACTAGACTGGTGTGCTCCAGAGCTGTCGAAGTGACTGTTATCTTTGACAATAGTTAAGTTTCTGCTGTGTGCATTCCTTTGACTGGGAAGCACCCTCGACAGGACATATCAAATACAGCAGGATGCAAATAGCTCCCTTATATACTTTAGTGTCTCCTGTCCTGACAAATGAATGTCGGCCAAGCAACATGGCTAGGGTGAAGTCGTGGCTTAGTGTAGTGGAGGGGGAGCCACAAGGGTGGTTGCCCCGGGTGCAAAATTGTTAGGGGCTCAAGATTTCAACACCTGATGCTCCCTCAGTACAGCTGTGAGCTTCCATCACTGAGCTCTGTTGAAAACGGCTTCTCCATGCGAACCAGGAAGGGACCTCTCCAGACAATGGAATGACTCTTCTTTTCTTATCTCTTCAGCCACGATCGCTTGGGTGACGCAGACGCCGGTAGTTGAATGCCCATGCATACTTCGTCCATTTCCATCCCTCCCAGAGGAAGCCCAACCAGATGGGTGGGGTATGAATAATAAAATAATAAAATAATCTCTCCCACTCACCCCCTTTGTGCTGCCCCGGGCGCTGGCAACCTACACTATGCCACTGGTGCCGGATCATTTTTGTACTGTAAAATATTGTGGCAAAATGGAGTATCACTCTCATTAGCACACAACTTCTTTCCCTAGTATAAGATGAAACAAATTCCAATCACTGTGCATGGCAGGAACAGTCTTCTATGCAATGTTTATTAAGAGACAGCAAGGAATGAAAGGAGGGAAAGGAATAAAGACAAGGTATGTAAGCTATTTCCATTTTTTCCCTTTCTCTCTCTTGTCTACAAGATAAGAATGGCTGTGCTGCCACTTTGTCATATGCAGCTGTCTCTGGCAGATGTAGACTATTTACACTCTGTGTGGGTGAACAGAGAATGCCACATCTCCCAACAACTGCAAGGCAGGAGAGCTGCTATTGAGGCAGGGGCCTTCATTTCTTTTTCTCACATGATCAGTTACCAATTTAAAAATCAAACACAATACACTTCCACTTTGCTCTTAGGTAGCAGATGAGGGTGGAAACTCAGTCTTCAGCAGGAATAATTTACTCTTAACAAAACATGGCCACATAAAGGAGGAGGAATATGCTCCAGCCAAAATTAAGCATTTATGGGTTTCCGCTTTCAGCAAAAAATGCCCACTTAACTCAAAGGACTTTAATAAACAGTGCTTCACTTGGCTACCTTTTCCATGCTTTTCTATTAATACATAAATAATTAGTGCCAGGTGAGGTGGGATGGTGAAATGTGTAAAGAGTGAAAGAAATTGAAAAAAGGATCAATCACATGCTACATATTTGTGATACAAACTTAATGTTTAATAAGCTAAAGGCAGGGGAAGGAGCTTCCTGACACCTCAAAATCTGATGTATTTATGGTGGCATATTTGTTCGTGGACTAATAGAAATCACATTATCAAATGCATGAAGTTTGTACACACACACACACACACAAAAACACACACACACACACAGTACATTGAGAAAACGATGTTTCTTTTCCCCACAGCTACAAGAGCGTAGTTTAACATTACTATGCAAAACTCAATTTTCTATGCAAAGTTCTATGTTGACCCAGTTTTCCGCAGCTGAGAAAAAGGCACAGCCTGTGCTAGGGATCATTAGGAAATGAATTGAAAACAAAGCTGTCCATATCATAATACCATCATACAAATCTATGGTGCGTTTGGGCAATTCTAGTCACCTCAGGTGAGGTAGAGTTGGAAAAAAAGTTCAGAGAACCGTGAGCAAAATGATCAAGGGGGTAGAGCAACTCCCCTGTGAGGAAGGATTGAGGACTTTTTAGTTTTGAGTCAGTGGTGATGTGATAGAAATTTATAAAATTATGCATGGCATGGAGAAAGTCGATATGGAAAGGTTTTCTCCCTCTCTCATAGAATCATAGAGTTGGAAGGGATCCAAGGGTAATCTAGTCTAACCCCCTGCAATGCAGGAATCCATGACAGATGGGCATTCAACTTCTGTTTACAAACCTTCCAGGAAGGAGAGTCCACCACCTCTTGTGGGAGTTCATTCCACTGCCGAACAGCTCTGACTGTTGTCATAATGACCGCTCCCCACATCAAATGGGGGGCGCCATTTGCGTGGTCGTACGCAGCCCCCCAGATCCCAGTGCAGCTCCCGGTAGTAAGGGCTGGCTTCGCCCTCCCCAGGCTGGATAACTGGAGGTCTCCGCCTACCTCAGCCAATCGCCCAATCCCACCTGGGGAGGCGTTGCCAGGAGATCAGCCAGGTAGGGGGAGGGACTGCCCTGCCCACACAATGGAAGGTGAATCCTACCTGTGAAGCATCAGTTGGCTCCAGAGCTTCTCCCACCCTGCCCTGCCTTCTTTTGCAGGTTAACCTCTTCTCCACAGGTATGCAGGCACTGCTACGTCAGGGTCGCTGTTGAAGGGCCAGAAAGGAATTTTCCGGCATTGGCAGGTTTTGCCTTTCCTGTAGCAAAACGTCACAACTTTGGCGGCATCAGGCCTTGGGAGGAATCCTTTAGTCTATCTTCCTAAATGGGGGGGGTGAAGCGGTGACCCACGCCCCCCTTGCGGTGGTGGTCCCAGGGCTCCCCGTTAAAGGGGTTTTGAGGGGAGGTTTTGGCCATCTGACGAGAGGTTGTCATTGCTCCCCCCTGAGATGGGGGGCGGGCCCTCTGCTTGAACATATGTTCTCCAGAGCCAGCCCAATCCCCACACATTCTGGATAACCGTGATGTCTCCCAGCTGGGGACTGGGAAGGATAAACGCCCATTGCCTGAGCCAAGGTCTCTCTACATCTGAAACTTAATAAAGTCGTGGCCAATTTTAACCCCATAGCACGTTGTCTTGAGTCATTATTCCGCTCGGGGGTTGCCTGGGGTTGGGGGAACTCCGCCTGTCCATGTAACATTAGAACTCATGGCTATCCAATGAAGCAGAACATTGGAATGTTGGAAGATTCGGGACAGATGAAAGAGAGTGTTTTTTCACACAACACAGTTAAACAATGGAATTTGCTTCCCTAGGAAACAGTGATGGCCACCCACTTGGATAGCTTTAAAAGAGGATGATTAGAGAGGAGAGGCAGGACTGAGATTTGGAGATATGCTTCAGAGGTCCAGACTAAATCAATAATTATAATTTGGATTATAATTTG